TAGTACCATTAAGAGTAGATTGCATTGTGGAACTATTGACATAATTGATTAATTCAAGGTCAATCGTTCAATGAAAATGAATATTTACGTGAAAATATATCTTGTATGCAATGATATTTTCAATGCATTTCACACCCTTACACATTCCATATGACGCCTTCTGGATCAAATATTTTTCACTACAAGTGAATTGGATTTTTCGACGGACAACATCCGTTGATAACTCAAACCTAGTACCTTAAAATTAGAGACTCGATACACCAACTACTAAGCTACTAAGTTTTTCTAATAATAATTTACAAGTAAATTATATTTATATACAAATATATATATATATATATATATATATATATATATATATGTGTGTGTGTGTGTGTGTAAATATATATATAAATATAAAAAATACAAATACAAATATATTTTTGTATTTTGATATATTTATATATATTATAATATATTTAAAATTAAGTAATTATTATATAATTTTAAATATTTAATTTTTTTAATTTAATGTTGATTTTTAAAAATATATTTTAAATCCGTCGGTAAATGAACAAATAATTACCATTAGTAACTAATTGTCCATTTACTAAAATTATTAATTTACCGACCGGATATATCCGTCGGTAATTATTTATTTATTTACTGATGAATTTACCGATCGATATATCCTTTGGTAATTAATTATTCATTTACCGACAGATTAATCGACCGATATATCCGATCGGTAATTAATTGTTCATTTATCGATAGATATATCCGATCAAGTAAAACCAAATTCCACAACTACTCTAAATCAGTCGGTAATCACTTGTTTTTCAATCGATATATATGTGTCGGTAATATAAGATTTTCTTGTAGTGTTTGCTATCTCTTTCATGACACCACCTTCAGCATATTATTAAGTTGGATATGTGATTTCTTATTGACCAATAGTACCTACACCTTAAAATCAAATCGAGGAAGAGAAACATAATGATAATAATATAAAAGCACAATAATCATATATTCCTTAACAAAATGAAAGACGTAGTTGAAGTAGAAAATAATCACCTTATAGAACATGCTCTTGATACTAGATTATTTTTTGTTTAGCTTTATATTACATTATTTTGCATCATGTAATTATTTTTATTAAAATTAATATATGCTATTTTATTAACTATTCTTATATTTTTAATTTTTTTAGTTAAAATATGATAAATAGAAAATATTACAACATAATATTATATTATAATTAAATTAAAATATATCAACAAAATATAACAAAATAAATAAAAAAAATCAAAATCAAACTAGATGGCATGACTTAAAAAAAAAAAATACTAAGTCGTGCATGATATCACGAATTTAAAAAAAAAAAACATATCAATATATATAGCACGACTTTTTTTATACAAACTTATTACTCATCACAAGACATGACTTACCTATTTATTTAAATCTTAAAAAATTTAAACCAATAGAATAATATTCTACGTAAATTATACTATATTGATAAAAGAATCAGTACTCATGAAAATTCTCTTTCGATAGAAAAATTAAAATACATTAGTATATTTATTGTTAAAAACTCTTGTTTAAATATAATGAATAAATCAGATGTATAATGAATTTTTATATAAAGTAATAAAAAATTTATAACATAATGTATAAACTAATTATTATAAAAGCTAATTGAATTAAAAGTGAATTAACATAATTGAATTGAATAGTATTATAATCTGAGTGAAATTAATTAAGCTTTTATATATATATATATATATATATATATATATATATATATATATATATATATATATATATATATATATATATATATATATATATATGTGTGTGTGTGTGTGCGCTAAACTGTTTATATTATGAGTAAATATTTTTTTAAAGTACATTTTTAATCTCATAGTTATATTGATGAGTAATTTTTAATTTAATTTTTAGCAATTAAACTAAAATAACAATTTAATTTAATTCAAAAAACAATTTATTATTATTTTTTATATAATTCAGTTCAACACTAATTTGATTGAGTTCAAATCTTTATGACAGCTATACGTATTGTAACACAATTAATTTAATTTTATGGTAATTATTATTTCTTAATTATTATTTCTATATATATATATATATATATATATATTTTTTAAAAGGGAATGCCCAATTTGTAGCCAAAATATTATGTTTCATGTTTTTATATTTAATTAATTAAAAAAAATGATTTGTGGACTCAATAATTATGAAATATACACCATTACTTAAAACATTATACTAAAAATTTATATAATATATTTTATTTTTAATGTATATTTTAATCATACAAATATTTTAATAATATATACTTGCCAAGAGTGGGTATTTGAATTAAAAAAAATCACATAGGAAAAGATATTTACAGTAATAAATAAGAAAATAAGTCACCTTATACTAAATTCACTTTTATGAAAAATATGAATTTTTGATTGTGTATATCACTTCACAACCTTCAATTTATATTATATAACCAATTCATAATCTATCATTACTTTATGAAAAATTATAAATTTTAATAAGGAAAATGATAAATCATAATTTTCTATATATTAAACATCTATTCAACATTTTATTTTAATAATAATGATTATTATTATTATAGATTTTTATATTTATTATAATTAGAAGTGAGTTATGAAATAATTGAATAAAAAAAATTGACTGTATCGTTAATTTTACCGTATTTTTTTAAGTTTTCCTTTCATTTTAAAAATCTCTTTCTCTCCTTTTATAAAAACTCTCAATCTCTTTCCTTTTATTAAAAATACTAAGATATGAAAATAATAATCATAAATCTATTTTTACAACTCGTTAATATTATTAAATATTTAAACATATTAAATATTTACTCATAATATTTATATAATCAACTATAAAATTATTTTTATAAGTAGATTATTAGGTAAATAATATTACGTATTATTATGAAATTCGGTTGATCATCTGTCTGAAACTCATAAAATTTGTATTGAATAAAATTATAATTAAATGAACTATTAAAATTATAAAAATATAATTAGATATAATAAATAAGTTAATAGACTGGATGCAACCTGTGCATTAGATGGATTGGCGGTTGAATGCACTGTTAACACCCCAGATTTTTTTCATTTTGGATGTAATTGTTTTTAATTATTTTATAAAAGATTCGATGGGCCTTTATCAGAATAATCACAAACAACCCATTTAGGAAAGCAGTTGTCATATTACCATCAATGATACTTTGATTCATATATGCATATTTCATTTATAAATTATTTTTAACTCATTTAAACATAGTGTTGACATCATAAGCGAAAATGGTTCATTAGTTCAATACTTCAATTGATCAATTCCTTCCTAGTTTTGAATGCCTTCGGATCCTCACTGGAGAGCCAAGTTTTTTTAACATAAAAGATAAAAACCAAAAACATTTTTCAAATTCGAATGTTACTACAGATTTGTAACTCGCTGTGCCATTCTATCAAGTACCAAAAATAAGAAAATTATCAGGACAAAGGAAATCTAAAAAAACGTAAGAATTTTGTTTGCATACAATTCTACACTTCAGGCACGACGTAGCACGCAAACGAATCATAGAAGAAAATCCAATTTATGAAGTTCAAAGCTTCTCAATATATGATGGCAACTTTATTGCCTTTGCACGGCCTGACTTATTTTGACATGCCACACGAATGAATGGAAAAAATTATACTTCACATCTTTTTATCTCAAGTGAAGAAGAAACTGTAAACAACATAAAATTGCTGGACGAGTATATAAACCATTACAAAATTCAAAATATGACCAAACAAATGTCAGTCATGGCTAATACCAATTTCTCTCGTTCAAACATGATGATATATAATGTATAAACAATATGGACTAGGCCTACCAAACAAATGGAAGAATATAACTACCCGACCACTATTTATCACAATTATAATTGGAGTATTATAATATCACTGTTTGCAGAAAGACACAAGGCAACTTTTGGATCAAATAACACATGGGTCAATTTCAATAAACTTATCAACTTTTATTTATTATTGGATATGAAAAATAGGAAGAAAAATCGATCAAACTTGTATCGTAAATTCAACTCATTTTATGTACATAATTTTCTAGAGAAGTTAAATAAATGAACTTCTAAAAAATTAGAGTGTCTCACTTATGTCAAAAAAAATTCTTGCATTTGTCATCAGGGTCACAATTTTAAATTTTGGATGCAACGGGATGTTGTAGACTTACATGGTAGCCAGGCCCAGGAAAGAACAACCGACAAAGAGAACAAAGCAAAGAAACATGAACAAAATAAATAGAATGTAGTTGCCTCTTTCTGACACACAAGTCAGGAAGAATCATTGTTGTGCAAAGCATAAAAACACAACACGTATCATTCCTATCGAATCAACAAATGGTCAATAGAAAGTCACATTATAAAATCCGAAATTAAAGTTCTAAAAAAAAAAAACTCAGCCAAACAATAGCGCAATGAGCTATTGCGCCGTCCCATATTCCATTCACAACGAACCATTAGCAGAAGAGTAGTAAGGAATAGAACACTATAAATACAACATCAAAACCAGTCAGAAATTTTACAGCACACATTGTAAATTGTTAGCGCCAACACCGAATAGAAACAATAAAAATACAGTAGAGAAGTAATTTAACCTCGAATTGGTTGATTGAAGATATATCTATAAGCAAGGAACACCCGAAAATGTTCTTGTCTCTCTACAGGACTAACATTTGAAACACGAAAGAAAATGATGATGTGGTAGTCAATAACAGGAATGTAATGCGTGATTAATTAGATATATAGGTATCAAAAACAGAAAAATAATTACTTTGAAATTAGTCAATTAGAAAGATGATGTATTTACAATTTATTTACAGCAAATGCTCAATTAAACAGGAATGCAATACGTCATTACGAATGATAATGTGATCTATGATATATATCTATGGCCTTGTTTGAAGGTACCAAATCAGCAAATTGGAACCAATCTGGCGGGAACCTTTTCCCTACCGGAATCCACAATCGATCCTGCTGCAACAATTCGAATGATCTTTTTTACCGCAAAATGCAAGCAATTCGAAAGCATAATCCACGACAGCACCTGATACACAAAATCAAAAGCTGGATCCGGCACTGAAGAGGAGGGTTCATCCCAATTGTGTCCATCCCCAAATCTATTGAAATTCCAACCACCGCCACCGCCGCCACCGAAGCCACCGGCTCCGCCAAAAGGAATGTCTCCGCCGTCACCGAAGAGGAACACGTCGTTCCCGGTGTCCCCGGAGTGGTCACCAGATAATCTGCGTTTGGTTCGTTGTTTTCTCCGGAGGAGTGTCCGGCGTCGAAGCCTGTACGTAGTGGGCTTCACGGGAGGCGGTGCGACGGCGTCGTAAGGTTGGATCATGGCGGAGATCTGATCGGTAGCCGAATCGGTGAGGGAAAAGTTACAGGTGGATTGACAGTCGCGGAGGACGCTGAGGCCTTTGGTAGTTGTTACGGCGACGGTGTCTGCGAGCATCATGATGGTGATCATGGTGAAATGAAAAGACTAGGTCTGGGGAGAGGAACGGATCTGAGAATAAAATTCGGTTTCTCAGGTTGAAAGAAACGGAATAGAAATCCGAAAGGGTTTTCTCGTGTCCCTCAGTTGGATATTATGAAGGCTGCGCCGAAGCTAGCGTGTCAATATGATTTTGACCACTACATGTGCCACGTGTCCTTTTCGGAAACACACACCGGTGTAGTCATTTGGGCTTTAATTTTTTTTATTTGCAATATTGGGCCAGATTAGTGAGTTGAGCCCATGTTGATTACAACGAAAGAAAGGAAGGGATATGTATGCGTTATTTTTATTATATGACATCAAAATTCTATTTTTCGTATTTGTATTTTTTTACGTTCCTTTTTATTCTTTTATCTTTTAAAAGTCAATTTGATCATTTATGATTTAAAAAAAATCAGTTTGATCGATTCCTTCACATATGTTGAAAATATATTTTCATATTTTTTCTAAACTAACTTTCATCAATTCAGTTTGGGCTTTTTTTTTGTTACAACAGTTTTCATTTTTTTTAATTGTAAAAAAATAAAATATTTGTTTGATGATTTTTTTAAGAAAATATTTTTTTGAAATTAATACTAATAAAAGATGTTTTTTTTTATCGATGATATCATATTTTTACATATGACTCTACTATAATGCTTATCTTGATTATTAAAAAAAATATCGAAATTATTTCTAATTTTTTGTATGATTTTTTTTTGGATTGATATCATTTAAAACTAGAATTATGAAATAAATTTTTAAAACTTATTTTCAAATAATTTTTCAAAACTATTTTTAAGAGATAGAAAAAGAAAAAAATAGATCAACTCAATCCTATTCTTCTAAACCCTAAACTCATCTATTTTCACTCTGTTGCTGCCAAAACAACTACTCTCAGTTCAAGAAAATAAAAATTGAATCGATTAAAAAACATTTTGAATATTAAGAAAGAGATCAAATTAATATTTAAAGGAAGAAAGAGTAGAAATTCGTCTATGAATCATAACACATTTTTTAATACTCTACAAAAAGGCACAATTCTTTTAATTCTTTACTCTACCGGACATATTTACCATTAAAAATATATTAGGCAAATTTACAATTAGTTAACTTTAAAATTGTTAATTCATAATTCGCTCTTTCGAAAGATACCATATTTCAACTACTAAAAAAACCTTAAAAAAATTGAATTTTCTTTCTTAGTCTTTGGATTTGGATTTGGAAGTAGACTAGAGAATAAAAAAAGAAAAAGAGATTGTTTGACTTTGAGTGAAAGAAGCTAAAAATTAAAGAGATGTTAATTAAAAAATTGTAATTGATTTGATTAAGTTGATAGAATAAAAAAATCAAATTAGTTATATAATACAATGAGTTACCAAAATATTCTTTATTAAAATTTAATAAAAACGAATAAATTAAAAATGAAAGATTAAAAATGAAAGATGATTAAATATTAAATAGTTATTTTATAAAAATTATATATATATATATATTAACTAATTTTTAAAAATAAGTTTTATATTATAGATATTATACATTTTTAATTTCATATAAATAATTCCAAATAAAATGAAAACTACTTGTTAATTTAAGCTACAAAAGAGTTTTTCAAATGGTCTAAAAAGTTGGACTAAAAAAATACCTAATATTTGTAATTAATTTCTTTTAAAGGGTAGAAGTAGGGTCAATGGAAAATCAAAATTAATAGAACCATACGCTCAAGAGAGATAGCTAATTATTTTGATTCAATTTTATTTTTTTAATTTTGAAAAACAGTTCTAGAGATTAATTTTAAAAATAAATTAAAAAAATATTTGATAGCTTTATTTTTGAAAGTTATTATAAATTAAAGAAAACGATATAAAAAATCGTAATAAAAGTGGAGAAATAATTGTTGACACTAATTTTTTTTTTCCACAAATCTTATGGTTAAAGAGTAGATGTAAAAATATGTGAGACCCACATTTTTCATGTTTGCATTTTGATGCACATAAGAGGAAAGAAATTTCTACTTCCTCAAATAATCTCTCTATGACGATAAATAGATAAAACACAAACATAGACTTAATTTTTATATCAGTTGTTAAAAAAAAGAATAAAGTTTAAAATGTATAAAAGAAGAGACAAGTTCCCTTAGAAATATTGGTTAGTGTTTATTTATTTACTAGTATATTAGTTTGAACATTGCACAAATAAATAATTCCTTAAACAATTAAAATTCATAATAAATAAATAGATTTTAACATGTGAATTATTTTTTAGACTTATGATTACCAAGTAAATTTGTAATATAATATTGTATACCAAGTAAATTTCCTTTATAAGGTTGGAACTGGTGAAGAAACCTCTCAAACATTTTATTACATCAAAGAAGTTGTGCTTCTGTGGAGAAAGTTCAGGAAAAGCAAGAGAAGTATGTGTGAAAAATTGGTTTTGTTGATTTGCAACTTCAGAACAGAAAGACTAATTAAAAAACACTTCTGCTTAAGAGAAAACTGTATGAATAGGAAAGAGAATCATACTTAGATGAAAAAGTTTAATCTCTTATTAATCATTCAGACATACCCAACAAACTAACTTTGAGTTTAATGCCTAGCTAACAACTATGATCAGCAATAAAAGAGAACATGGATGACTGATTGGTTAGGAACGAAGTGGTGAATCTAGCTTATTAGAAATAAGGTTATTTAATAGTGTCTCGTTTTAAAACTGGTCTTATTATGCATTCTGTCTATGTTTTGGTCGTTTACTTGTTCTGGTTTGTTCTGAAATTATAAAAGTCAGAACATCTCTTATCCCACATTGACAGTAGCGGGGGGTCATTTTGTTTCTCTTCCCATGGAGAATGAAGTTTATGAATTCATACAAATTTTAGAGCTGCTTTTAACGGGGGAGAGTACTCAAGTTTTCCATTGAACATGCATAATGTCTAATTATACAAAACTTCATCAGAATTTTTTTTTGTTCAGACGAGGTTTATAATTTATAACTTTCAGAATTCCTTTGTGCAGATGAGTGGCGATGGAGAGGGTAAAAGAGAGGATCTAGTATAGATATTCTTCGAAAGCATGTATGTGCAACTGTTGATTGTTGTACAAAATTCATTATTTATCATAAATAAAAAAGAAAATCCATTCAAATTCATTATCATGCTTTATTATATTCCTGCCCCGCCAATCCAGTATGTTCCTTCCCCTTATGGTGGGCGGCATATTATTGTCTAAATCGTCATAGTGATTTAAGATATTGCAATCAGGGGTCCAGCCAAAGCAACCTTAGCCATGAATGTTTGGTCGGTAGCTTACCAAATCCCTGATGGGCCCTGGCCATAATAATACCTATAATACCACAAATGTCAACTTTTTCTACTGTATATCCTCAAAGAGTCGTGTTCAAAAGCCCTACAACAAATTTCAGAACAAAGAGAAAAAAAAGAAAAGAAAAAGAGATAATATAGGCAAATGTGACTAAAAGTTGAAGAGAAAAAATGAACTGTGAAAATATAATAAATTTGAGCATGATTACAATCACTAGTATAGAAATGCGCATTTATATTGACCCTTAACATCGTGGGGCCTTCCAAAGACAACTGGGCAAGCCATAGCCTTGTGTTTGGTACACTCAAATGGAATGTATTATTAAAATATCTCAAAAATCAATATTTTAAAGTGTTCAACCTGTTTGAATTTTTGTTTAATCTAAGATTGAAGATATTTATTGAATAAAACAGAAAGAAAAGTTGAAGATAGATTTATTCAGAGCCAACCACTAACTAAAAACGAATTGCAACCACAGAATTAAGTTATTTATTTGACTACTTACTTGTCCATTGGCTATTATAGTAGTTGTTAATTACCGACCTCGTATGACAATAATTGCACCTCTATTGTTCTTTTTTCGATTCATTTTTTGTCACTTCTTGCTGTATAATTTCTGAAATTAATACTCTAATTGGTACAGCATGTTTATACGCAAATTCTGGTCAACCGAATTTTATACGTTGGTTGATTTTGCTGTCTAATCACCCTTCACTGTCCAAGATACCCCCTTGTTCTGTATCCTATGGTGGCCAAAGAAAGGGTAAGAATGGTAAAGCCACCGACCATACTAAGTTACAATTACAAATAAGTCACATCGATCCAAATAAAGTGATTGCGGTTGTAACTTTGTAACTTGGTATCATGGTATAGGGAGTATAGCTTCAAAGGAATCATCTCTCAGTTCCTCAAGCTTTGATAGGCTACAGGATTTGCTGGTGGTGATTACAATCACAGGCATGACATGCATATAACTTGTTCTTAATTTTCTTCCTTAAACTTTCCATTTCATATATTATCATGAAAGAACTAGAAACTAGTATATCACTGTACAGAGATCATGTTTTTCTCATGAATAACTGGTAAAACTAAAAACTGTTCTCTTTACTATTTCTGTTTGTGATGAGTATTCTGTTAGCGTACAAAGTTAGGAACCGTAAGTGTCCATAATCTGCAATAATGTTTGGAATGCAGTTATCATGGTTCTTTTTCCATCTTTTGTGAATGGATTGGCGAGAACCGTGTCAATCAAGAAAGAGAAGAATTGTAAAAAGGAAGATGGAAGGAAAGCTGCGGAAGAACTGGCAAAGGAAGCAAGGAAGAATGAATTGTTACTGAGTTCATCTGGAGTTGTTAAGTCGACCAAGGCCAACAATTTCGTTTCCGTGTTCACTAATAAGGGTCAGAAAGGAGTCAATCAGGATCGTCTTCTAGTTTGGGAGGTAAGGCAACCACTTTTTTGAAGCCTTTAGAGGTTAGCTTAGAGTGCCAATTATCAAATGTTAAACTTTGTTGGCTGTTGATGATGCTAGGAATTTGGATGCCAACAAGACATGATGTTCTGTGGAGTTTTTGATGGGCATGGCCCTTGGGGACACTTTGTAGCCAGAAGGGTCAGGAAACTACTGCCAGCCTTTTTGCTCTGCAATTGGCAGGAAAACCTGGCTGCGACATCACTTGACCTAGATTTCCAGATGGAAGCAGACAAACATATCCATGGATTGGACATGTGGAAGCACTCCTACACCAAGACTTGTGCTGCTGTTGATCAGGATCTGAAGAAGCAAACTGGGTTTGATTCCTTTCTTAGTGGCACGACAGCATTGACAATTATCAAACAGGTTATCTATATTGACGTGTGATACGCTATTTTCAAGTTTTTATATATTTTATTTACTTATCTGAACTCTTTAAATTTTTAAGATTTTTTCTCTAGATGTGTTTAACCTTCCTTCTGAGGAAAAGAAAAGCAGAAAGAAAAAATGATCCAAATGAATTGGGGTCCGAAATTTATAAATATGTAAGACGCTATCGGGATCTTAATGAGGTTCCCCTTTTATTTTAACATCATGTAAAGAGGATGTGTTTGAAGTAGAAAGAGTTCTAAAATGTTTTTCTGATTAATAAGGGAAAGAAAAACTAGAATCAACCACAGATGATCATCTTGGTTTTCTATCCTTGTCGTTAATTAATAATGAAGACATACCATGGTGGCTTGATGGAAATAATTATTCTTAAGTTCAACTTGCAAGTGTTATACTAAATCTCGCATTGGTGTAATAATCAGAAGTGTGCTGAAAATGTTTGTCACTGATGATTCAGGGTGAAGATCTTATTATAGCAAACATAGGTGATTCTAGGGCTGTCTTGGCAACCACCGCAGAGGATGGCACATTAACTCCACATCAGCTTACCACTGACTTCAAGCCAAATTTACCACGTGAGATTTATCTCCCTTACACGCTCACTGGAATTTATTTTGTTTGTACAAATCTATTTGATCAAAATTTTATTCTAGAATGATATACTTCATATTTGAATACTTCTCATCTAAAAACAAATTAATATTAAATTTCAATAAATAAAATTATTTAGCACAAATATTACATAAAGTTGTTTCGATTTAAAATTAACCGAAAATTAGCTATATGAACCTGTATCAAAATCATAGTGAGTGTTATATTCGTTGATTTCAGAGGAAGCTGAACGCATAACGCAGTGTAGAGGGCGGGTATTTAGTTTGGAAGATGAACCAGGAGTGTACAGGGTGTGGATGCCAAACGGTAAAACACCAGGACTAGCAATATCTAGAGCCTTTGGAGACCACTGCATGAAGGACTTTGGACTAATCTCTGCACCAGATGTCACACACACCCAACTTACCACCAGGGATCACTTTGTCATCTTGGCAACTGATGGGGTAAGCATCTTTTATGTGTTTAATATAATCACCGCTTTAAGATAAGCTTTTAATTTAACCCAAGTTGAAAGTAAAAGCATTAAGAAAAGGAACAAATTTGGTTCTAGTAAGGTATCATTTGAAGTGTTGAAGTAATTAATTACTTCTTCTGTCTCAGGTATGGGATGTCATATCCAACCAGGAAGCAGTGACGGTTGTTTCTGCAACGCCACATAAAGAAAAAGCAGCTCAAAGGCTCGTGAAATTTGCCATACATGAATGGAAACGGAAGAAAAGTGGCATTGCTATGGATGACATGTCAGCTATTTGCCTCTTTTTTCACTCTTCCCCTTCCCATCAACTCCCAGCCATTAAGATTGTTGATTAAGAAGAATGCTAGCTGTGTGGTTAAACAGTTCATTGCAGCTTCCTTGTAACACAGAAATACATAGACTTGTATATAAACTTATCAACTAAAAAGTCTATATTCGTGACCATTAGCTTTACGTGTGTCTCTGAAAATGCTGAAATATCAGCGAAGAGGAACATCTTCAAGAATGGATGGATGCAGTGCCACACAACTTTACCGTTTTAATTTCAAGTCCCACATTTGGAGGTTTTATTAAATACTGTTGCATGCATATATCTAATCTATAGCGCTATCTTCACCAACGTTAAGATTATATTTAAAGAAGAAAACTACGTGCATCAATGAAAATCACTTAGATGTCTATTAAATGAGTTTGGGCCAAAGTCCCACATCGGTTGTCTTCAGTGGAAGGGGAAGCTATTTTGCAAACTATACTGTTGTTTGTGTTTTTCAAATGTGAAAAAAAAGTTGAAAAAAAGACAGCTACCAAATTCATTATATTATAGTAAGTATTCAAAATTTGTATTTTCCTCATATGACTTAAACGTTACTTTTTGAAGCGAATATTTGTTACATGTTATAATACGTAGTTTTTTGTCATAAGTGGTGGGAGTATCAGAAACTATTCGCCAACTTTGCCTAATTTTTATTTAATGAAAATTCACTAAGTTTTTAATAAGTGAAAAATAACTAACGAAATGTAATAAAAAATTGATATTGAAAATAAAAACTTATCATTAATATTATAAGAGGTGATATAATTGTATGAACAGTAAATATTTCATATTTGCATCATTTTATTTATAAAATTATTTGACTTTCTCTCTACGGTAATTATATTTTGTATTTGAAATATTTGAACAGTGTATTTTCAGGTTTTGTATTATTTCAGTTTATTTATTACAAAATTTATTAAGTTATTTAAATTATTAAAACAGAATGAATATAATTAATAAACCAGTTTTACTTTGTTAAATATTTACTTAACATGAATTGTATTACTATTTAAAAGACGTAAAATATATTAAATAAGAAAAGAATAGATTAACAAGCTAATATCAACAAACATATATTTTAACAATTTTAGTTATTAATAAAATAATTATTTTAAATTAATATAATAATAGTGTTCATTAAATAAATAGGACAGAAGAGAAATGGAAAAGGAATATAATAATAAACTCACCTAAAAATGAGGGCAAGGAAAGAAACGATGAAGTGTAGGATAGAGATACAGTGAATGTGAAGAATGGGTATATCAATGAAATGGGCACACTTGTGTGGAATCTAACACACATGTGTGTGTGTGTGTGTGAGAGAGAGATATCTTATTTATTCAACCAATCCAACCCAACTGGTTTAACCCATCATCACTGCAAGAGAATCTCTTCTTCTTTCTTCCTCTTCTTCCGCTTCTTCAATTATTCATTCATTGCTTCATTCCGATGGCCATGGCCAAAGCCTTGCCCTGTCGTGGTCTCATCAACCTCTCTGATTTCGATGCCTTACTCTCCGCAGACGATTACATCTCCATTTGCGGCTATGGTTCCCTTCTCTCCGGTAATTCCTATGTGCATTCATTCATTTTTCAAATTTATTCAAATTTCCTCACCTTAACTATACACATATACTTTGACGCAGAGAGAAGTGCCAGAAGCACTTTCCCCAGCCTCGTTAACTTCCGAATCGCCCGCATAACCGGCTTCCGCCGTCTCTTCACCTCCGTCGGAGGCTTCTTCTTCACTCAAGGTGTTGCCAATATCAAAACTCAGGTTCTTCATTTTTCCCCCATTTTCTTCAAATCATTTATTTCCTTTCTATTGCCCCATCCATTACTGTGCTTTGAATATGCCTTTCTTTTTCTTGCAAATCAGATGATATTTTACAAATTTCACGACAAATTTTAATTCTTATATTCAGAAATTATAAACATATTTATTGATTAAATATCACTCCTAGGAAAATGTGTCCTTACCTATTTTTAAATCACATGCTAAATGACATCGATTAAACCTACACTTTTTTTTTATGTTTTCATGAAATAACGCATACATCTACTTTAATTTTTTTTATATTTAATAAATGACATTAATTTTTTTGATGTTTTTAAGAAGTGATATTTTCTTCTGTTATTTTATTTAAAATTAACATATTAATTAAACTTAAATAAAAATGAATATTATAATTTAAAATTTTAAAAAATTATTTTTATTTAATTTTTTGTTAATATAATTTTTAAAGATAAAATAAGAGATGTAGGTGTTGTTGTTTTCTTAAAGTATAAGAAAAATAATAGTTTGTTTAAAATATAAAAATGTTAATGAGTGAATGTTTATTTAGAAACTAAAAAGAATAACTGCAATTTCCTCATACTTTAATTAGTTAAATATAATTTTTTTTACATTATCAATATATATATATATATATATATATATATATTGAAGTTAAATAATTAATTTTTGTTTGGTTATTTAAATAGATTAATAACAAAGAGAATTTTGAAAGGAAAATATAGCAAATTGTGAAGTTTTAGGAGCTGATGTGATGTGATAATTGGCAGTAATTGTAATTGGGGTTTGTTTGTTTGTTTGGTTGCATGCAGGAAATTGCTGCACTTTCTGTTGAACCATGTGAAGGTGAAATAATTATTGTTGTCGTTTTTGAGATAAAGAAAACAGAGGTACTGACTAAGGTCTATATTTTGAGATTTACAAACAAAAGCCAATTATCTGATCAATTTTTATTCATCATTTTCGTGTAAGGGATTTAGATTCCAGCATTCATTGAAAGGGAACGCGAATATCTGTTTTTAGCTGTGAGTTGTTGTTTATTTATTTATTTCATTTGCTTATGAATTTGTTCCAATGATAATATAATATCCAATTTTACACATGCTTCATGACTTCCAAATATACTTTTTTATTTTATTTTGTCTCTTATATTATAGGTTGTTCCTGAATCGCTAGATGGGAAGCCCTTTACAAACCCAGCAGTATGTTATTCAAATATTATATTTTAGTAATTATCTTTTTTTTTTTTTAATTTTAGTTTTTTTTTTTCGATTTGATAGTTTTGTCTGTCATCATCGCAGGTTCTTTGTGCTTCTAACACTGATGAGGAATTCTTTAAATTTAAATGCAGTGGTATGTTGCAAATCCAAGTTTTATGAACAGTCAGAAGTATTTTTTTTTTTTCAAGATTGCAAACACACTGAACTGCGCTAGGCATAATTAAATGAATTATATATTTTTAAGAAAAAAAAAATACTGGGTAACTTGTGCAAAACACTTCTTTTGCAACTAATTTCTTAAGTATCCAAGAAAAAAATATTGGTCATTTTCAATTTTTAGTTGGGTACTCCAAATTTAGTTTGAAGGATAAAGTCAATTATCTATCCTGTTTTATTATTTAATAAAAATGCTTCCATAATCATATATTAGAAATTTATTAAAAAACTTAGTTCCTGTAAAAATAACACGTATGTTACTTTTCTTTTAAATTTAAGACAAACTTAAAGCGACATGTGCGGTATATTTATCAGTGTGCCACCCTTTATTTGAGCCACAATCTTTTTGATTATTTTAAAGTTAAAAAATGTTTTTTGTACTTGTTAATTAAGAATACATTTTGATGTAAATATGCAGCTCCAAATAATTTTAAGCACACATCTAGTTCATATTTATTGATTTAAAATTAAACAAACAAGAAAGTTATAAGGGTGTGTCAATTATTATTTATGTCTTTACATGAGACTGAAAATTTAGAATTATGGAAGAGTGGCTGCACATAATTACCACCTGCCCAGTAGTACATTGGTTCCTTGTTAAGCTTTGATTGGTACATTAAACAATGTGAAGCCAACATTGCATTGAGTTTGCATCAAATCAAACTAGAGTAAGTGAGATCACAGAGGGTGAAACTTAACTTACTCTGTCTCTCTATTTTTATGATCAGCATGAGTTTTATCTTTTCTCCTCCTATGTTTTGTAACAGAGGGCAGGGAAAAATATTTTGAACAATATGGAGAATATAAAATTCATAAGATGTGGCGAGATGATGTTTTACCATGCCGTGTTTATCTTCGTCACTGGTAAGTATCCTGTTGTATTACTTAACCTATCAGATAATAATTGCAATCTATCACTTTAAATCGTTTAGAGATTTGCATAAAATGAAGGGATGGTAATGAACTGTTGCAGTGTCCTGGGTGCGAAAAGCCTTGGTGAGGAAGTGTACAATAACTTTTTGGATCATACCTTCCTGGGTGACCGGGAAACAACCATACGTCAGTACTTTGAAAGAGTGGGTATAAAGATAATGTACGAGGAGCCACCGGAGTCTTTGAAAATCCGTTATGGTGGTTGATGTCATGAGATGAGACCAGTTCGCCGCAAACTTCGAATGGTGGTGACAAGAGACTAGGGAACAAAGCAAATTTCTATTTTCTAGGATGAACATCTATTAATAAATTGACAAGGACAGCATATGTTTAGAATAATATTTCTATTTGTGAATTAAAGCTAGTAACAGTGCTCGTTCAACAAATATTTATACAAAATTGTTTCATTGCGTTATTTTTACTCTACTTATTTCTCTCTTGATATCAAAATTATACATCAAAGTAAGATAAAAGACGAGGAAAAATAAAATATATTTAATGAATAGAGATGACGAAGTAAATATGTAATAAAACATGTAGAAAATAAAGGTTGTTTAATTAACAAAATAGAATAACTTATTTTTGAGATTATCTATTTTTATTATCAATATTGTTTATTATACTATTATATAATATATCAGGATGCTTTTATTTTACAAATCTCATCTATTTTATTTTTTCATATTTTCTTTTAATTCCATTTAGGCGTTATCAAATGTATTAATAATAATGATAATTGTTGGGATAAAGAAAAATTGTAAAATTACTGATATGAAATAAATTTGATGTTTTTAATGTGAGTGTCTGGGTAAAAGAATTGTTTTTGATCTTTACCTTATCAAACATTAAATAAATGTAACTGCATAAAATTAAATAATTGGGATGATATATTTCTTGATGACTTTTTGTACATAAAATTAAATATTGATTTTGTGCACTTTTTTTTTATCATTAAGGAAGTTACAAGTCCCATATGGAAGATTTTATAAACTGGGGAAAGGGGGTTGGCTATAAATAGATCAAAGATTTGTCAATGAAACTCAACCTGTCCTGTCAGGGGGTGAAAGGCGACTTGTCAATGATCGTATAGTGACGACAGGTCGTGCCAACACCTATGATTTCGAACACATGATATATGGCGGGTGAATCCTGCCTTACTTCGGTTAGGAATTGCCCGTCAATTTTTGGAAGCTTCTCTCGTAAGGGAGGCTCTATGACAACTCTTAAGTTTCTAGATAATGGAAGTTACTGGGGACATGTATAGTTTAGTTGGTGATTCACACTATTTGTTATGATCCTTCTCTAATTGTTTGATTAATAATTGTATCTTCTTCCTATATGTTGGCATGTAATGATCTTTTATCATTGATCTTGAAAGTCTGAGCTTGCTATATAGCTGTCTAGGTGTTTCATATAATTTGGTATGTTCCTCCATGGGATTTGAACTATCAGATGAAGCTGCAGAGACAATATGCATAATTTTACCTGGTGGGTACAAACAATAGTTATCTACAGTGTCAGATTTTGACATTGAGTTGCTACTTTGAGCAGCATCAATAAGCTGATTTTCTTCAGCAGTTAGTTCTTTTGCTGTAGCTGCCTCTTCTACGTTAGTCCCGACTAATATCTGTTTTTTCATTTTCTTCTCCAACTCATACCACAATTCGCCTTCAGTCACAGAAGTGTTGATGTGTTCATTGACATCAATGAGTTGCTCCTCTTCATCTACAATATCAAGTCCAGATCTTACACTTGAGGAGTTTGGTTCATTTTCACTAAGCATAGATACATTTTCAGTCAGAAGAGATTTACTGATATTTTTTGGTACAATAGAAGTTTTGGTCAAGTTATTCAATTTAGATTTTGGTAATGAACCAATATTTTGACTGTGTGCAGCCATAGTTTTGACAACAACTTTTGCAACACTTTGCGCATGTCTTATCACGGTCTGCAGGTAATAACAGGACCTCTATAAGATAAAATATCCATTATATATGATGGAGAGAACCCCACATAAAGGAGATATACAATAATATAAACAGCCTGAGTATTTAGGATTTCTGCAAGTGCAATGGATCAGCAGACTCTTCTTAACATAACAATGTATGATTTGGTAACTACTATAAAGAGCAACCTCATGCCAATGCAAACTATATTCCATTCCTGAAGAGAGCTTTTTGCTCAGAATGTCAAATAGTGACAATGAAAATTTGAAATTACCTGGGTACCACTGGTTACTGGCAGTAGAATAGCACCGGCACCAGTTACTTTGTCTTTTGCACTAGATATAGATTGTAGATGAGATCCAAGGGTACTTGCTGAGCGGTAGACAACATTCAGAACCTTTGTGCGCTCCACGTGATTCCATAAATCATTTAACCAAGATGACGCAGCAACCTAACAAAAATTAAAATAAAGAACAAAAACATTATCTAATAGAAAACATTAGAAACAAACTAACTAAATATTTGTTAAAATATTGGAGATTGGGAGAATAACTACAGACCTCAGATCGGAGATCATCAACAGAGGAAGCTGATAATGTGGGTACCAAATCTGAATTATTTATAATTGTAGTGATAAAATGCTTTCCTGATTCAGCTAACTCCCAAGTCATACAAGCAGCTGAAAAAAGAGAGTGAAAGGTCTTGACAGTAATAATTATGAAATAGGCAAGACTCCGATAATAATGTTGGACATATAAATTTGAAATCACATACCACAGTCCCAAACTGATTATACATTAGTTCCAGCTCATTTCTAACACCAACAAACATACTTTTTACCATTATGAAATGAAAGGATAATGCATCATGACTTGGACAATTACTAATAACAATTGCTTAATTCAATAACTTCTAATGTAAAGTTAATATGATCACATGCCTGGGGCAAATGTGACGCAGGTGATTGAAGATAACTCTTTTTGTTCTCTAAGAATAAATGTTAATAGTGCAGCAGTACCACCACCAAGTGAATGTCCAACAATCTGTGGTATGACGAAAAGACAAGAATGAGTAATGTGATTAAGTAAAATACTTATAATATTAATTTGAAAGAAAACATTACAAAATGAATATGAAATTTCTGTGACATGACAAAGAAACCAATATAAAACCAATTAACAATATTTAAAATAGCCTAACATGTATTTAAATCATATCAAATAATATGAGACAAACGATGTAGGACTTCCAATAACAAAAAAAAAAAGAATGAACTCAACCATTCACAACACTGTAGCATCATAATATTCTTCTAATAGTAGTATAGAACAGTACCTTGACTTTTGAGTCTGGACATTCATTAAGAACCTTACATAATGTAGGAGTGCAGAGTTTTGCAATCCAACGAGCTGCAGCAACCATGCCACAGTGTGCATGTCCTAAAACTAACTTGCTTATCCCTCCACCATTTAAAATGGAATGGTGAAAGGGAACCACAGCACCAGTTGCAGCTGTTAGTGTATCTTTAATGCTATGAGTTCCCCGGATTAATAGAAGGAAACATTTTGATTGCATATCATGTATAATAGTGAAAGCGGGCTTCAGGAGCTGCAGATTTCAAGACATTAAATCAGTTCAGTTAAGATTGAGCGATAAATTGACCAATGATGACACTGGGCAAAACAGTTTATCAATTGAAAGACAAGTAATATAAGATTCAGAAAAAAAGAATGATCAATGAAACTTTGACATGAAAAGTAAAACAAGTTTCGTAAGATGCATAAGGTAACATTTAGAAATAAAATAATTAAATGTTGAACGTCTAAATATGAGTTGAAATTATACATTGAGTAAAAATGTCTTAAGGATTTAGACTAAAAATAATGTCATATTTTTTTTTATGGTTGACTCAATACTATTGATGAAAATCTTTCTATATTAATCTCTCTCGTAAATGTCCAACATAAAGGAAACACAAACAATAATTTAAAAAATAAAATATATGAAAACAATCCAACATGTATAAGGTACATAAACTAACTCATGCAATGCACTTGACAGTTAACAATAAATAATGACTCCATATCAACAATCAATCATATTTGTCAGCAGTCTCAAAATCGATTTGCCAACCATAATCGTGTTAGAACTACAGGATTAGCCATCTCAGAATGGACATGATCAACCATTACCATGAATTTGGGACAGCCACCCCATTGAAGTTCTTTGAGAAATGATCAAGGGTAATGAGAGAATTGTGAATAAAGATTGTATTTTGAGGTTTTGTTCTGGCAAGCACCAACACGAAAAATCCAGGACATAGTATTCGTCAGACACTTCTGATACACTCTGTAAGATAGCATCCACAACGAATGTAACAGTAACCAACATTCAAAAAGTGAAACAGAGACCCAACGTTAAAACAACACCCAAAAATTGGATGCTCAGAAAAATTATTTCATTCAGCCATGTCTATCAGTGTCATAACAAACAAATAACAAAGAAAAAGAAAAAGTGAATCAAGAGAAAGGAATGATCTCAACCATTTTTCCCCTCTCTTCTCTAACGATTTTTCCTTTTAAACCATGTAATCTTTCAGTCAAGTATTTACTCTCTTGGATCGTATGTTTCTGCCATTTTCTTTGCTGACCATGCTATCATCCACATGTCCCCTTTCATTGGTTTGCCTGTAATGATCTTCAGCTCATTTTCCTTCTGTACTCTCATTACACACTCCAACACTTGTTAGACGGGACATTGAGAGGTGATACTTATTCTTGGTTAGACACCTCTAAGACTCCTACTATAAAAATAATTTCAAAAATATCAATATATATTACAATGATGTCTCTTACCATTTCTTTTCCCAACAATATTAGAGGAATTAATTAGTTGTTTTACTCGCTTGTTCTTTTGTTTTACAATGATGTTTTTGTAAGTCCCCTAACTTCTACTCTACAAATATAAGATTTGTCAAAGATGTGAATAAAACAAGATCCATTGATCTCATTTCAACATTTTTCATATTTCTTTTTGGTTTTCAAACACTATTTCATATTTTTTCGGCTTGGAATTTTATGAAATGATAATTTCGTTGTCATCACCCTTTTTCAGCATAGGGCAAACCAAATTTCGCATGATTTGGATTCACATATTTTACTTTCAGAAATAACTTGTTTACTTTATCAAAAAATATATTGTTGCTACTGATAATAGGTTTCTAGAACGAGCCTAATCATCAACAATCTATTTTAACAAATCAGAAAATCCACCACCACTCTATTTTATTTCATATTACAATCTTCTTTTTTGTCTTTTCTGGAGATTCTATTGCGCAACTGTATTCTTTTTATTGGACATATAACAAATTCTGTTAGGAAAATGTTGTCTATATAGGAATCTGATTTTTTTCTGATGAAATGCAGAGTGAAAGAATATATTTTTTTCCCAACACATCTCTCACTCTCAGTTTTTGTTTTATTATGGTATCAAAGCTATAAAATTCAGAGCTTTGGTGGCTACCCCAGTCAAGATACCTCTTCCCCATATTATCTACATCCCTCAAAAATACCAACCCTTACCATTGCCCCCAATATTCTTGGAAGGAAAAAACTATCACCAATGGTCTTGTTCAGTTTGAATGAGCCTCATATCCAAGAACAAAATTAGTTTTATTAATGGACGTATACTAGTCCCATTCTGCACAAATGCCCTTTTCTCAATCTTGGAAAGGAACAAGATGGTTGTTTCCTAGATTCACATATCTCTATCGCCGACCATCTATCAGAATGTCATATGAATGGATGGATACTGCCTTTTTCATATGGAATGATTTCAAAGAGAGGTTCTCTCAAGGAGATATGTTTATAATTGCAGATTTACAGGATTTGATTTCCTCTTCTAGGTTAGCTGTAGCAAATTATTTTACTAAACTGAAAAATCCTTTGGGATGAGTTGGATGTTTTTCGCCCTTTATCACCTAGCAATTGTGTCATCAAATGCACTTGTAATGCTTCAATCAACAAAGGAGGATATAGATCCCAAGACCAAGTCATTAAGTTCCTCAGAGGTCTAAATAATAATTACTCTACTGTGAAGACTACTATCCTTCTTATGGATCTTCTTCCATCCCTCAGTTGTGTTTTCTCTCCTTATTCCAAAGGATAGACAAGTCTTTGGTGAGTCAAAAGTTCTGACAGTTGCTGGGAGAGGAGGAAATTTCATAAACAACAATAGTTACATTGGTGCTTTTTATGGTGGTTACAAGGTTGCACAATTCAAAACAAGAGTAGTTTTGGCGGAGGAAATAATACCAAAGAATGTAGTCATTGTGGCAAAACAAGGCATTCAGTTAACACATTAAACATGGTTTTCCTCCACATTTCAAGTTCAAGAGTCAGAACAACGATTTGAGTCCTGTTAATGCTGTGTCTTCCAATGTTGATCAACACAACATTCAAGGGCCTAAGGTAGATATGCAAGCACAACAGTTTGGTGTCACTTCAGAACAATATCAAGGACTATTAGCTCTCTTACAACAGTCAAGAGATAGGAGCAGTTTTTACAAATCAAGTTTATGTTACTCCTTGAACATCTTCAGGTAAGTCTCCATGTGATGGTAAAAACTCCTCATTTTTCAGTTCTTGTGTACTTTATAGTGAGATACTGATCATATATGCTCACTTTTATCCAATATCACTTCCTTTCATAAAAATCAAACCTATATATGTTAGACTACCAAATGGAAACAAAATCATAGCCAATTATTCTGGTAGTGTTTTTTTGAGCAAAACCATATCATACACAATGTCCTCTATATTCCCGTGTTTTTTTTTTTTTAAATCTTTTGTCAGTAGTAAGATTGATTGAATTTTGGTCTTGCATCCTCTCCTTTGATTCTACTCAGTGTCACATTCAATAGCTAAGATGCATGATAACCTTTATATATTTAAGTTGCCTTCTTACCAAAATTACATAAAGCCTTCAAAGTCTTCTCACATTGTGAATGCTATCAATTTTGCCTCTGTTGATCTTGAGATCCTGTGGTATTTTTGTTTAGGACATACTTCAAATTTTCCGTATGTTTAAGTATGACAAATACCATGGCTGTGATGTCTGTCATTATGCAAGACAAAAAACTTATGTTTCCCATTAGTGTTTCTATAAGTGTTAAATGTTTTTGGATCTACCGTTGATCTTTGGGAGTCATCCTCAATTAGTGTAGATGATCGTTCTAGGTATACTTGGAATTTTCTTTTAAAAAAAAAAATTAGCAAAAACAAAAATAATTTAAAATTTTGTTAATTTAATAAAAACAGTTTGAAATCAACATAAAAGTTATTAGAAGTGATAATGACACTGAATTCTTTATGACTATTTTTTGCTAGCAAAGGAATTTTACACCAAACTTCTGGTGTCAATACTCCCTAACAAAACAGTATAGCAAAAAGAAAACATGGTCATTTATGTTACATCCAATTTATAAAAGATTTGTTGGTCTTATGCTCTGTTACATATTGGATACATCATAAACATGCTTCCCACACCTGCTAGATTACTCATCTCCACATCAAATTCTTTTCAAAACTCAACCCAATTTCTCACAGTTAAGGGTTTTCCGGGTCTTTGTGATTTGTTAGTACCTCTTCAAATAATAAAAAGAAATTTGATCCAAAGACTTATAAATGCGTTTTTCTTGATTTTAAAATTGGAATAAAGGTATATATTTTCTTGAAGGCTCAAAGCAGATAACTTTTTGTATCTATGAACATGTTTTTCCTCATCAGAAAACTTAATATTGATGAGGAAAATTTATTCAGTTATGACATTGACTGCTTAACCACAACTGATGTTTCTCCTTTGAATCATGTACATTCTTGCACACCTGAGAACAATCAGTCTAATAATACAGAAACTTCAGCAGAAATCTATGATCATGAAAACCTAAGTGACATCTCATCCAACTGATGCTGGGTTTTACAAATATGTCTCTCAGTTTGCTGGGATATCAAATAATGATATTGTTACTGCTGATAACAGGTTTTTAGAAGGAGGCTAGTCATCAACAATCTTGAGATTCCATTGTACAGCTGTATTCTTTTTATTGAACATATAACAAATCCTTTTTTTATGAAAAACAGAGCGAAAGAATCTATATATGTCACTAAATGAGGCTTTCTTCATTTATAAGATGGTCTTGTGAGCAGTCACAGACCCCTAACAAGGTACAGACAAAGATAGATTCGGTACCATAGGTACAGACAAAGATAGATTCTGTACTCTTCTCAAAACGGAGTGCTGTTACAGTGTTGCTAACACACATGCAGATCATACTTACACCAAAGTCCAAGTCCCTTGAATCAAAATTCCAACAACATAAAAAAAACTAATAATGTGCACTACCATTATAGGAATCTACACCAATTGCACTAAAATAGAATGCGTGCAACTTTAGTCTTGATGAGTAGGAAAGGACCTGATTATTCAAATTTATCTAATCAAGATTCAGGGGAGTACGATACAGGTTGAGTGAATCTCAGTTAAATAAATGAAAATTTTCTTTATATACTATAGACTCTTTATTGACACCACATGAACTCTTTATCGAAGTGGTCTCTTCAAGCTTGGAAGGACTGAGTGAATACATATCAAGAAGCGGAAATTTTCTTCCCACATTTCAGGCAGTTCATCCAAACTGTCTCTTCAAGCATGTGACGCCAGTATATTGGTAGAGTGAAACTTGGTCAAAGAAAGAAAAAATAAAAAATTAAAAGAAAATATTTCCTGTAATAATGATAAAGAAAGATGTCATCTTCTATTATGATATATTTGTTTTACTTTTCATTTGTTCATGAATGAAAAAGAGTGAGAAAAAAAAAAAGAAAAAAAAAAAAAACTTTCACCGGTTTATGAATGAAAAAAAAAAGCAGGAAAAAAAAATTATTTTAAAAAATTATTCTTTTATTAGTCTATATTCTAATAATTAAGTTTCTCTTATCGTTATTATAAAAATACGATAATTAATCCAGACTCGTATATGCATAATGATTTTTAATTATGTTATTAAAAAAATGATAAATATAAAAATAATTATAATGATAAAATAAATAATTTATATATTCTTTTAATATAATTTTATTTTTTAATTTAAACTTAAATATTTAAAAAAATATATATCTTAAGAAAAAAGTTAATTAATAATTATTTAAATAATTTTATAATTATATAAATATTAAATTCTAATTATATACTAATTTTTATTTCATCTCACATCACTTTTCTTAAAATAAGTATATGTTTACTTTTTTATAAACTAAAAGTTCGTCATCCCATAAACTCTGAGAATCGAAGTGCAGTAGACAATCAATATAACCTGTACCAATAGGTGACATGTCTCTTTTACAAATTAAGTACATTCAGGCATCAAGCTAAATTAATCAAATTAAGAGATATGCACATGACATGATTAAAGTCTTAATCCAATGTAAGTATAGAAGACAATTCTCCGCTCGGGTCTGGAACTCAGCCCCAAAAAAAGACAACATCTGTCTTCGTAAAAACAAGGGGGAAATGGGGAGACCATTTCCTTGGAAGTGCATCAAGCTATTGTATGCATGACTAATCTCTAAAACATTTATCAATCGATCAAAATATAAATATGTTCCGGAAAATAAATTCCAACAAAATAATATCAAAACCGTGTAAGGGGAGTGCGTCTAGAGATTAGACCCATTATAAAACAAATAATGACGTACCCACTTAACTCCAATCGAATTTTCCAAGTTCAACACACAAAAGAAAAATAGAAAAAACGATAGACAAAATTAGAAAGAGGGTACCTACCTCAGCATTGGGGTTATGGAGAAGGACATGGTCCAGCGAGAATCCGGCAGAATCTAAAAACTCGGGAAACGGTCTCTTCGAGAAAAGCATGCACAGAGTCAACAGCCTCAATAGCTCCTCTAACTCAACTACAACTTCAGGGCCTCGCAACTCCACACAATCGCTTCCACCATACACACTTCCAACTGCCAAATCGCCCTGCAAGCGTAGTGTCCTGTTTCAAACCCTAAAATTTAAATTGACGACAAGAAAATTGGGAAATTGAGTAGACCTGACCTGTTTGCGCATGAAGTAATTGATGCCGAAGGCTAAGTCGGTGATTGGCCATTTCCCAATAGTCTCGGAGTAAGTGAACCTCAGCGTCTCCGACAACGTCAAGATCGATTCAAACAGATTTGCCGGCGCCTGAGCTGGTTTCATCCTCAAGCTCCGAGCTCTCGGCCACTCCTCTTCGACCTTGTTCTTCCGCCTGAATACGAGGTACAGCATCACCGCCGCTCCGGCGGCTGTCGCCATTGCTCCGGCGGTCATGGAATCTGCAGAGAAGAAGAATGGGCAAAGAAAGGTTTGGGAAAACGGAAGGAAAATGGAGACATAAATTGGGGTTTGGAATATGGTTTGAGTGTGTGAAACAGAAACGTCTGTGAGAGGAACCGAGAATGTGCCTTTCTGGGAACACGAAGCTTAGTTGCATTATGACCACAATGCCCTTCTTTCTTTGCTTCAAACATCTCATTCCAGAAGCATTAGCCATGGATGCTGATCCTCTACAGTTTCAAAACAACTGGAGGAGTACGTGGGTTCAGATGATTTTTTTTTTTATTATTATTATTATTATTAACATTAATTTAACTAAAATATAACCATTGTTTCAGATTCATACGGTTCACTTTTCCTGTTAATTAATGGTTATATGATGAGATTAAATATGGTCTGAATTAATTTATGTAATTTTTCCAAAAATTCTGAAATAACTAGTGTATTAATTTTGGAAAAACACGTATAAATCTGACAATAACTTGAGACCTAGATTAGATTAGTCTTGCCCAGAAGCATTACAAAAAACTTCAAACGTGTTTATTGGGCCTCGTAGATGCTAGCCCACATTGACCTCACACTTAGGCCCAATCACTTCCTTCCTCAATGCTTTGGTTTGATGTACAAGATGATAAACCATTTTTTATTTTTAAAATAAATAAATAAATAATTTTCATATAATTAATTCGAATATTTTAAAAGTAACAAAACGCATGTCAATTATTTTAAATATTTACATTAAAATGGATGTAGATAATTTTTTGGACACCAAATGAAGTGGAAGGTAATAATGATCATACGATTTTAGTCATTTCATTCACATCTGGACTCTAATTTTTTTTATTGCTCTTGGTTGCTTTTGTAACGGGGCTTACGGTAAAAGAAGCTTCATTTTGAATTGAGAATCTTGTACGACTCATGTTTACGAAAAAATGAAGCACTTTTTTTTTTGTCCAGGAAATGCAGTGTTGTGTTGTGATGCCAAAATAAATACGTTCAAAACGAAGCCTACGATTCTCTCTTGTCTTATTTTATTTCTCCTCTTTTTCTCTTTTCCAAAGCTGTTCAAAGCAATATGCTATTCTTGTCATTCCATTCATTCGGGAATTACTAATTGCCCATGCGTGTATACCAAGGTTTTGTTTCGTTACAGACAAGACAATCACAAACCAAAAAAATCAAGTAAAATTCACTAACATTTTTACTTTATATTTTTTCACCTATTTTCACTGTCTTTTTTTTATTTATTTTCCCTCAATCAGTATTTCAATTAATCACCTCACGAACTGGGTAGTGGAAAATTTGCTTGGGAGACTCATGATCAATGTTCTGTGCATAATAATTAATCGAAAAAACTAAATAGAGTTGCATAGACTTCGATTTCCATCCTGTCCCACATTCCTCAATTTTCTTGCTTTGGATTTTGAATTTCCAGTACATTGTTGACCAGTACATTGGGCCATGGGAGCTTCAAATTAATTAGTACTAAACAATCAAAACTGTACCACCTTTCCCTGCTGGAATTTGTCCCTATCTAAAAGAGAGTCTATCTTGAAAGATGAAGTTGGTAATCTCAAAACAGGTTTCAGTTACCAATGTCTCTCAGGCAATCGTACTATGATTTGATTCAAATTTTACACTACTACACTGCTTCAATAGTTGAAATGTACAAAACAAACCTCCTCCTTGAATCAAAATTCCCTAGTCTTCACTAACCAACGATTGGTGATGGAAAAACCCTCTAGTCCCAATATGGGAATTTGGAAAAGGTATGAAGGTGTTTGAGGATTGAGTGCCAAAACCAACTTGAACCAGGACAAACTAACTTTCCCCTTAAAGCCACTGCACCAAAGGTTGTTACATTTTCACCTAAGGCTCAACCAATAAATCATAACGAAGAAGACGTTTTTGTTGCTCTTACAAAGCCATGAACAGAAACTTACACACTTTCTTTCTAGTTTTTGTCGTTTGGTAAATTCATTTAGTCCACTGAACTATCTATACTTCCTTTCTTCTTTTGGTACATTCTAAGTGCTACAAATATTCATTGTATTGTAGCATGTTAACTTTTGTTTCCCATGTTTTTTTTTTTGGTTAATTTCTATAAGATGTTTTAATTAACCATTTTTAATGGAGTTCTTTTTGGTTAACACAATGTTAGGATTGAAACATGTTAATCTGTGCTTTAATAAAAGATGGTGATTAAATTCATATCAAGAGTAGTTTATTTTGAATAAATAATTAAAAAGAAAAAAAGTAATGATTCCGTTGTAATTTATAAAAAGTTTCAACCAAAGCACTGGTTAGTGAACAACCAACTTTAGCAGGTAATTTCCAAGGAGAAAAAGTTATGAGATGCATTGTAAAGGGCACCCATAATGAATTATAAGAAGATGAAAACATGATACGTTGTTATGAGCAAAAGGACAGAGGGTAGGGACCTATAATATGATTTGATTATTTTTTTAACCTACTCAGAACACCTTTTGACGCCTAGCCTCAACCGGGCATTATATGAGTGGGTCACCCTTACTTGAACGCTCCCATCCCATCTTCACGGGTAATTTCTCGTTGAATTTAAAGACATTGTACCAAAATAATATTGCAATCTACCTACCACAAACACCATAGTAGCATAACCTTCAAACATCTACGAACCCTTCATGTAATTTCTACCAGTAATTCTCACGTTTCATCAGCACAGATGTAAAAGGGGTTTGATGTATGAAGGTTACTTCCTTTTCATGAATGTTTTGTGAGTTACTAATTTTCCACAAGGCCCTCACAAACATCAAGAAATAAACTATACCTTTAAGTGGATACTGAAAGAGAAATCGTTAGAAGTGGTAAGAATAACTAGCAAATGGCTTAATCAAATTACACAGTTGATTCAAGATCTCAGATTTAATCAGTTTGACAAAACAGTCTTTAGAAAACAACCTTTGAACATGTCACAGTACATGTGAGGTTCTATTTTCAGCCTAACATTACTTACTAGTTGTTGAATGTTTCAACAAATATTAGGAGGTGGTAGAGACTGGCATCAACAACTTGGTTAATCTAACTAACATCGAAGTAACATGATATTATATTGTCATATAAAATAAGGTTTTTAGTTGGGTTTATTTAGATTTAAATTTGAAAAAGGAGAAGAAAAAAAAAAAAAACGAAGGGCCAAATGTCCTTCCCTAATACCTCTCAGTCAGTGCCATTTGGAGAGAATAACGTTAACTTCTCCATATCTCCAAACTTGTCTGTCCCCACCAACTGATCCAGTGTCAAATATCTCCTCCGCAAAGGTTGCTGTTTTTTTCTTAACCGCTACATCTCTGTTTATTATTACTGCCCTCCGAAAACCAACAAAAGTAAACCACCCTTCATTATTTGTATCCCCTATTCGCGTTTTGTCCTTCACTTCCAATATTCGCGCTATCATATCACTCTCAAAATGGGGAGAATGGGACAAGACTCGGACCCCAAGTCCAAGTTGGTATTAGAGATTTGCTCCATTTCCACGCGTTCTGTGGTATGTGTTCATCATGCACTTCTCTCAAAACCAGCCAACACAATTTTTGTTGACTGGTATTGCATTCTTGGAGTAAGTTCTTTACCTCTCTTGTTCAAGCAAACTGGATATAGGTTACTTTTTATGATGCAAAGTTTCTCCATATTGGGTTCTCATAGGTGGAAGAAAATGCAGGGGTGAATGCCATTCGCAAGAGGTACCATAAACTGGGTAGGTTTAACTGGTTCTATGGCTATGTGAAACCTGCACTCTCTCTGATCTGAATAATGAGGAGCTTTTCTTTCTTTTTTTCCTTCTGTAGCCTTACAAGTTCACCCAGATAAGAATAAACACCCCAATGCTGAAATTGCTTTCAAGCTCGTTTCTGAGGTATTTCTGTGATGCTTTCTTTCCTTTCTTTTTATTGGTTAGACACGTAGCCTGCAGGTAACATAACACAGAAACAAAGAAAAATTATTTTCTGGTTATTCTAAACTTTGAAGGTGTTCTTAACACCCCATGTAGGCATAAATTCATTCCCAACTCTAATAGAGTGGAATACAATTTCATCCCCTCCCATCCATTTTTCTTGTAGGCATATGCATGTCTATCTAATGCAGCAAAGAGAAAAGCCTTTGACTTGGAGAGATATAAGCATTTCTGCTTCGAGTGCAAAAGAATTCCGTATACATCGAGCAATGTCCCTGGCAATTCAGGTGGATCAGGTTTTAAGGCATCATGGAATATCATCACTAGATCAAGATCTTTTAAACTTTGGAGAAATATTAGGGAAATGAGAGAAAGATTCGTGAACGAGGGTAAGGTGATAGAGAACTGTCTGCGAACAAATTCAATGTCAAGGAAAGAATCTCCAGTCCTCAATCCGGTTGGCTTTCTACAAAGAAGCAAGTCACTTCAAAGATTTGACAAAGAAACCCCTGTTTTCAATCCGTCGGATTATTTGTACCAAGGCTACCCTCATCTGAGGAGCAATATTTACAAGAATTCTTCAACTTTTTGGTACTTGCAGAGAAATAGTATGCTTCACAACGAAAGGGGAGGAGCGCTGGCCTCCCCTGTTTTTGAAGTCCAATCTAGGAGTTTGTATGCTAGCAAATTCGCTTTTGTCCCATCAAGATGTTAGCTAGAAACATTTTCTTAACGCAATGTGATTGTGAGCTCCTTGCTTCTTTAAAGAATTAATTGCATTTCGTTTGAAATTGGCACGATATATGCGACTCATTAAGAACCTCCCAATCGCAAAAAAATGCATTGATTAATTAAAAATTAAAGGCAACAGAGCTTGAAAAATTAAATTAAACAGTTGAACACATTAGAAAGTAACTCATAAATGGTCCTAGAATACACCGGTAACACTGCCTGGGTTGCAAAATTGCTGCATTTTAAAATATGCAAAAGTAGATCATTGCACATCTAGTAATGTCGATGAACTTGCACTGTTTCTTCTGATTGTCAAAATAACATCAGCTTTCTGAATCAAATTTAGTTTGTGCCTTCGTTTTCTACAAATCCAGAAAGAAGCTCGTTACTGCCTCCACATCATAACTTGGCTACTGATATCTTGTGCTACACCTGTCCCTTTGAGATATAGTTCCCTTCTCCATACAAGACAATTATTGGTTTGCTTGTTCTTTAAGCTTCGGGTTCTTGAGAATTCCACTGTCAATTAAAGGCTGTAGCTCATTCTTTACAAGTTTTTGTACTTTCGGATCTGGTGATTCCAAAAATGCGGAAACAGTCTTACAGCTGCAATCATATCGACATGACAAAAAGAACACCTAAGAAACCAATCCTCACAACCTGATTTCATAGGAGAATAATCTTAAACTAAAGTAAATGAAACTTACCTGTGGCCATGCGCCCATAACTCACTTCTCCCTTTAAAAGCTTTGTCCCATAAGGTGGAAGCAAAGTTGGGGCAATCCAAAATCAGTTTTCTAATGGTCCGACTTGAATGGAAATTTTCAAGGACATGCTCCTCTTGGGAATCTTCTTGTTTAGGCATTGCTGCAAGAGAAGCTACTGCGTTGTGGAGAGAATTTATCTTTTCGTCCATAGTTGGGTGCATTATACCATCAGAACCCCCTGTTGCAACCTGCATGTGCAATAGAATTTGACAAGGCAATACTTGGTAACAAATTTACAGAACTAGATTATAACATAAACATCATCTTTATTACCTCATACAAGATCTCTTTGCCGAAATTTGACCGTATCAGTTCTCCCACGCTCTCAATACATACATCAAGAAGACTCTGCAAAGCAATTTATAATAAAACAACATATTCAGCACAACTTTAAGTTTATTATAAGGTTGTGTGTGGCATGGGTGTTAAGAAATACACTTATTTAGGAAAAAAAAACCATTTGATTGCCTACTATAACCTTCAATGTAAAACAAATAAAGAAAAGATGAAGGATATAATTGATTGATAATAGTCTACACCTTTTAAAACGACGTATAAATTACACTTAAAAAGTATCAGAGGTAATATCATTTATGTGAACACAATATAAAAGAAATTGTTGGAAATAATCACAACGAGCTTAAGAAGCAACATATTCACGTATCACATGATGAAATGCTAGTAATCAAGGGTATTAGTGTGTAGGGAGTTGCACTTAATATTAACCAAGAAGTTCCACTCTGCACTAAATGTTTCAAGAGTCTATGGCATGGATTATATGCAGAATCTATGTATTGCATTCTCTTGAATAAAAGACCTTTTCATTTTCTAAATTCTCTCTAATAGATTTCTTTTCTCTCAAAATCTCCTGCTCTATATAAAACAGAAATATGTAAAGAAACTTTCTTTGATCCGAAATAAATCAGGAGCAAAAGATTAAGGATAGAGACAAGCATCAGTACAAAACACAAGTGAAACTTGTAAAAAACAAATAAACTATTAGAATAAAAGATAAATGAACCCACATCTGCAAGTCCACTCTTGATCAACAGCTCCTGCCTTCTAACAAGTGGGTCTTTTTTCCCACTCTCAGCTAGGTCGGAATCATCCATAGAAGTTTTATCTTTGTTAACTTCATCCACTGCCACCTGCATGACTTCCTTGGATTCCTTGTCACCAAGTGAAACGTGCTTAGTTTCAGTAAGACAGCTAGCTTCTGACTGATCCTGATAGCATCAAAATGAAGAGTGTGACAAATTTAGCTGCTTCAAAGTAACAACAAAGAAGAAAAGAAAAGATAGGTTCAAAAATAACCTTCAGAGACAGGGAAGGTATAGATAAACTCAGAGTAGCAAGATCATCAGGACTGAAATAGCGTGAACTATTAGGATGTAATAATTGGAGTAATGGACGCCTTCCATTCTGTAAAATTCAGAAGTAAAAACAGAACTTAGAAAATTACAACCAAAAAGCACAACACATACATACCATGAGAAGGACTTTCAAGAAGTTTCTTATTAATTGATGAAAACTATATTGACTTCTCTTTTGTAATGCTTGTAACATCAAATGTAAAGTACAAACCTTATCCAGAACAAGCTCCTTTAGAACTGACTGAAGCTCACGAATGATAACCTGCAACATGAATGCTTTAATGCTTAATACCAAACACAGATTTCATTATATGGAATACCAAAAATATTGACTATTCATGAGAAAAATAAAACCAAACAAACCTTTGTTATCAGTTTTGTGTCATCTACAACTGAAAGGATGCAAACCAGCACCTGAAAATTGATTATACAAATTTATTCATACAAAAAATTTGAATGGAATATAAGCAGGAAATTTTTGAGAAACTAAAAACATGATTCTTTTCACTGATAAGGGACTCATTGCTTCTTTTGAAGTTGGAAATATGTCACTCTAAAACAAGTACAATAGTAAAAATCACAGGTAGTAAATACATATGAGAAGCAACTATTTAATTGACATACTTCCCAACAACAACCCAAGGATCATGAGAGGCATTGCAATACTCTAGAAAGCCAGGAATCAGGAGAATGAATTCACACAAGCGGAGCAGGGTTAATATAACAAACAAGGGAATGGATTGTCTGCTGTGACATTACCACTGCATGAGATCCTACTCCTTTAATAAATTGTCAATATAATATATTTCTATAATAAGAGAGGTATTGAGCAAATTAAAAAAAGGGATCTTAACACATGACCATCTCATATTTTTTTCACTTGAGAGAATCCGTTCCCAACAAACAAGGTACAACATATAACAAATTAGTTGTACAAATGTCGCTAGAGGATGTCTGACATGAATAGTAGAGGCAGTTATGGAATATTTCTTGACGAGGGGAAAGAGGGAAGGTATCCAATTATTCAGAAATAGTGGTTTTAGTATTGTGCACTCCAGGAAATCCCACATGATAACTTTCATTTACTTTTCTGTTGTGTTTGGTCAGTGGATTTTGGGAGTTTTCCATTATCTTTTAAGGAACTAGCCTCCATTGTTTGAGAGAATTCCAGTTCTAAATTTCAGAACCCAAACAATGTGTTAAACAAGCATGGAAACTCGTACAAAAAGGTATGACTTTCCGAACCCTAGATGTTTTGCAAAATGAAATCTCAGATGATTTAGGGAGTGGATGTTAGGAAGAAGAAAAATAGCAGAGACAGTTCTGGAATATTTCTTGAGGAGGGGAAAGATGGAAGGTATGCAATAATTCAGAATCTGTGGTTTTAGTATTGGCTGGGGTTTGTGCTCTATGGGAAATCCCACATGAGAACTTCCTTTAAAAAAGAATTTCTGTTGTGTTTGGCCAGTGGATTTTGGGAGTTAAACAAGCATGGAAACTCATAATTGGCAAAAAGAAAATCCCTATCAAATGGTTTAAGTCCATATTTGATTCAAAGCTATTTCCAAATATTTATTCCCCTTCTATCGGTGGCCCGGGAGAGGAGGCACAAACTCAAATAATTTAGACATAGATGAAGGTGCAACTAAACCATGCACGTGCTGGGCCAACAAAAAACAGCCTCACAGTCAAATTTCTTACCATGCACCCATATTGATGATAAGCTGTTTTGTCTACGTGCCCCTTCAATCCTTTGATAATCTTCTTTCTTTCCTACAAATGGATTGTAAAGAAGAACAATCATGTGATGCATTCATCATAATAAATACACTAAACATTTCTATTGATAAGAAAGAAGTTGCTGAACAAACCTTGGCATTTCCATATTTTACACACAGAGTTCCAATTTTGGCTCCATCCTTCGTACCAATCATTCTAACAATGAGTGGACTTGATAACTGTTGGATTATATCTGTGACAGATGACTTTTAAAAAACTTGATTTAGATACTATTGCCCTCGTGAAAGTTGTTGCAGAAACAAAAAAGGCATGATGAAATATTGGGGAAATGGGAGAGAAATACCTTGTCAGCAATGCTAAAAAATTCCAGCAAGACTCTGTGTAAGATAGAATGGTCAACTATCCCTTTCTCTAAAATTGGCTGAATCACTGATGTCATATGTCGCAAAACTGAACCTTTTTGCAGCTTCAACTTGGACATTACATCTAATAATCTGACAAACAATTAAAAGCTCAGAAAAAACTCGAGCAAGAAAATACATAAATAAATCACCATATTGAATGTCTCTGCATCCCATTAAGATCAGTAAAATTAAGAAATTAAGTAACATCAATTCTGGAAGGGAGAGGAGCAATTATTGTAAACAAAATTTGTCCTTGACCCTGCTCTATAAATTGCCAGCTTTGTAGAATGAAATTATCAATACAAATTTCACGAGAAATTGCTCATCTGCAAGTATCTAAATGAAAGTTGAGATCCTAGAAAATGTAATATATTTCCCAAATAATGTATTTCACATTGAACTTATTTTAAATAATTCAGTGTACTCGCATAAAGTAGTGGGATATCAAGCAAGTTGTCAGAAACTAATTACATAAATTTACTTCCCAGATTTTATGATCATGGCCCCTCCCAAAGTCCCCAAAAGGCATTCAAATATAGGCAGGTCTCAAATAAATAAATAAAAGTTGAGACAGAAGGTTCATCTTTCTTTTCTATGCAACTTTTGCAAAGGTTGGATGTGTCCTTATGCCTTCTCTAACCCTCCATGAGAATTGATAACAGTTACATATTTCAGATTCCAATAATTATTCTTTAAATTATTTTAAATATGTAACAACTTATAGTGATGTAGAATTGTAGATTACCAATATTATCCAAAAGGCTAAAAAGTAATTCCTAACAGCTGAGTCTTTACCTGCTCTCTTTCAATGACACTAGATCCTTAAACAACTGAAGTTCTGTGGAGTATAATTCCAAAAGCAATTCTTGCTTTTGTGCAGCATTTGCTAACTCATAAGCATGCTCAACAACTGCATAACATGTAACACAAAACTTATTGTAGGGAAGTTGACTTTGGCTAGAAGCTGAACATTGAATTTATTAACATTTCATATCGGGTAATGAAAAATCAGCAGAAATTTAGAGACGAGGAACATTTATCAAATTTTCTCCCCTTCCTTGTTAGTCACATTTAAATCCTGGGTAGTGGCAGGTAGCTTTGGCTTCAAAAACTCTATACCGAGATAGCAGATGGCAGGTCATAGTTTATATAATGTATACTATATACATACAAATGCTAAAAAAATTATAAAAGAATATTCAAAATTACAAGCATTTATAATTAACAATAAAAAGTCATAGGTGTTTTAACAAAACATACAAGTAAACACAAACAAAAGTCAAATAAAAGTTTCCTTAGATTGGAATTATCAGTCATCATCTTCAAAATACAAACATGCTTTACCTTTTTCACTTTTATATATATTACATATATATATATATTTCAATTAGGAAATTAAAATCCCAACAATAGCCTCCAAGAAAGTCCTAATGTCTCTTTTCTAAGGTATTTTTTGGAATCAACAAATAGCACCGCTTTAGCAGCCACTATTCAGCCCATTATTCAGTCTGCTAGGAAACCAATCCCCTACAGCAACCCCTGTAACAAGCAAGAGCCACTCCTTACTACTACAACACTATAGTGTGCTATTTAAAACCCTGGTTAATCTGTAATCATAAACAATCCAGACCCAAACCATGAACCGCCGTGGCAAGCAAAATACTATCAGAACCAAGGTTACATACCAACTGACCCAACCATATGACGAAGAAGAGGAGCAACATGACCATGGAGAGTGGAGATAAAGCCTGCTAGTTGTTTCTTGGAGGCTGAAAAAGAAAAAGCAATTAGAAGAAAAGGTGACACTGACAAGTAACTACATAGATTTCAGGTAGACCATTACCGTTGTCGAGCATCTTCTTCACCAAGTGAACAGCATATGCATTGTATGCTAGAGTTAGAAAATGTGGACGAAGCTCTTCAAATACTGTATCTCTTTCAGCTTGTGAACAATGCTTGACACAAGTCTTTTGATTAAAGTAAAAAGCAAAAGATTTAAACTGCAAGCTCTTTCAAAATTGTGTGAAACTGAAAATTGAAAAAAAGATACCAAGTAATATACCTGTAGAACACGGGATGAAATGTGAGAGCCAGCTATCTCTGGAATCTTCCCCTTCATCTTTTGCAGTGCTTCTGTCACTAGCCTTCAATTATATAGAAATCTAAAGTAAGACATAATAAGGACAACAAGAACAAAAGCAAAAAGGCCTTGGCATTCCATTGATTAAGAAATATCAATCCCTAATTTTTTTAAAGGAACATACTTAGCTCTGTCCTCTTTAGCAATCTCATGACGTCTCATCTTTTCCCATAGACGTGCAAGCTCCTGATTTGAATTAGCCAGAATTGAATAACACCTCGTGAATTCTCAGCATTCAATGTGGAAAATAGTTAAGGTTACAACCAGGGTTCTAAATTGCGGACAATAACTGTTGCACCACAATACTATTGTTGCACTGCAGTATTGTTGGTGCGCCACAACTGCTTGCAATTGCTGTGTAAATCTAAATCACATAAATTTAACCTTCTATTCTACGTGTTGAAGTGTGATAGTGTAGGACAATAGGAGAATATGAGAGACGTTTGATGGCGGCAATTTGGCAAACTAGACAAACTCTTAAGCTAAAATAAAATATCCATGCAACCTATTGTGTGAAAGATATACCGAAAAATTATTCCCTTTTGATTCAAAGGTTCTTTAGGAACAAGGAGATATTATTTTTACAAGGAATCTTGAAAAAAAAAATCTCATCTAAATTTGATATCTAGGTTATTTTGGGACTTATGTTCCGTTAAAAAAATTTATCTACTTGTATAATTTTGGCAGTGATATTAGCCATTATAGGGGGTGTGCACCTCGACCCAGTCAGCCCCATTGGCTGGTCAAAACTGTGTAATTCTTCTTTCCATTAGGTGCAATCGTACAATAGTATCACGCAACAAGCTAACGCAATTTAGAAATATGGTTACAGCACTCAATTCAAGTGACAAATATGAATATGAATATGAATGTTCTCACTTGCTCAAGAGTGTAATGTCGCTTTCTCTTTTTTTTTCTGGCATCCGCAAGTTCCTGGGATGAAACAATCACAGTCTCAGTTAATCAATCAAAACAAGTAATCTACATATGTTTGCCAATCAATTAGCATTAAACAAACCAAAAGTAGCAAAAATCCTTGAATGATTCCAATAAGATTATCCACATTACAAGCACAGACGAAATGATAAATGTGCAACACACTATTTCGAATGATTATAATAGAGAAGAGAAACCTTGGCATGAAGACGACGTTCTCGGCCTGTAAGAGGAGGCTTCTGCTGCTTCTTGTCTTTGGCAACAGAGTCTGGTTTGTGCTTCTTTGGGGCAGCGAGATTCGAATCCTTGGAATTAGAGGGAGATTCGTGAGTTTTACTATCGAGTCGCTTTCTCTTTTTTGTGTTTCCGGCGTCCTGCTTCTTCGCCGCCATTGCTCAAGTTCTAAGGCTACCTTTGCCGGGTTGAGTTACTTGCAGCTATCGCTTGATAGGAAACACGCGGGTTTACGATTATTAGGGTTTATACAAATTTTTCATATATCCAAAATCGGTTGCGATATATTATGTATTTATTTTGTTTTCCATAGCATTACGCTAAAATGTTTTTTTTTTTGTCCTTTAGCTGTGGTAATTTATTTATTAGTAAATTACACTTTAATCTCCCTAATTTTAATAAATTATGCTCAATATTTTTTATTATTTAACTCTACGTAAATTTCTTCTAATGTATAACATTGTGTACATATTTTGAAAACCCCTTTTTATGTATTAAAACTCGGTATCTTATATTAAGATTTATAGATGACATTTTAAGAGAAATTAGAAGAAAAAGTAAAAAGTGGGTTAGATTTATAAAATAAGAATAAGGCCATAATTATTAAGAATAGATTAATTTAAAAACTAAATTAAGAAATTAAAAAGAATAATAATAACTCTTTAAAACTTAAATATAAATTTTATTAATAATTAAATTATATATATAATTTTATTCTCATTAATATAAAATAAATGGATAATAATAACTTAAAAAACAAACATATTTATTAAAAATATTCTCTTGTTTTGTAAATAATTATATTATCTAAAAAAATGTCATTTTTTATTTTGTAATCTTGTTTTAATAATCTTTATTATAAAAAATTATCTCTACAAGTACAATTATGTGTATATGAAGTATTTATAATTGTAATCAAAATATTATTATATCGTAAAAGAGTGTATTAAATACAAAATATTAAAAGGGTTTTATATTTTCTTATTTTTTCATATATATTTTTAAATATTATCTAAGTAATATTAATTATTATTTATTTGATTTCCTAGTTTTAAATTCATCTTTCTTCTCTCACCTTCATCATATTCTATAACTGCAATTAAAAATTCATTTTTCACACTATTGCGTTCCCTTTTCTTATTCATGTACAAAAACCTTTATGTCCAATTCTAAAAACAATGAGATAAGAATTGTCTCGTGTTTCTAAGTACTTAGGGTGTGATGATAGTTTGGTTTGATAAGGTAAAGGTATTATTTTCTTCCTTCTTTCGTACTATTTATTTTATTATTCAGTTTATTATTATTTATTGTTATTTTGAAATTGTAGAAGAATACTTATTGTTTGAAAAAAATTATAAAATATTATGATTATATAATTAAAAAGTAGTTTATTGAATTATTTAATCAAATTCTTACACTAGTCTTAAAAATTATTTTAATATTTTTAATATGAAATATAAAAGAATATATTATTTTTCAAAAACAAAGAAAATAAATTTACGAAAATGAAAATAACATATTCAACCTCTCGTTATATTTTAAAGCATGATATTGATAATTTAATTATTTAATTAGATAAGTGCTTTTTTAAATTCATATAATTACAACTAATAAATTTCATATATAATTTTTTATAGTGTAATTCAATAAAATATCTTTAAATATATAAATATCCTATAAATTAAAATTTATGAAATTAGAGGAACTTACTAAAGGTAAGGATAATATCAAATACAACATTAAAAAAAATTTCTTTTCTAGATAGAAACACGAGATTTTATTTGATTTAAAATATTTCTCTTTTGGGTATAGTATTTTCTCATTAGTGATGGAGTCTATTATTTGTCATGTTATTTATTTTGTACAATTTTAAATAGTTGTCCTAGGTTGAACGTATTTAATAGACAAAGATTTAAATTATGAAAAAAAAAAGTCAATGCAAAAAAAAACTATATTTCTTAATTATATTGATGATAGTCTTTGATTACCACATAACAATGCAATAAAAGTGTTAAAGACTTATTGAATCAATTTAAGCACATTAACAATATTACAAATGTGCAAAGTTTATAAGAAGTTTGTAATAATTATTTATCACTTAAAGCATCCATTAATATAATTTGTTGGCTAACATTTCAAACTTGTGTATTTAGAGTATGTGATGAAAAACTAGAGTCATGCAACAAAGGTAACTTTTTGGAGATGATTAAATTTTTAGCATCATACAATGATAAAGTGAGATATATTATGTTAGAAAATACTCCACACAATTTAAAATATACTTCTCATCACATTTAAAAAAAAGTTTTGCAATTTTTTTCTAGAAAAATAAGAAGTCATATTCTTGGAAAAATTGGAGATTAGAAATTTTGTATAATTGTTTATTCATATTATGATAAATCTATAAAAAAAACAAAAAACTATTATTTTGAGATTTATAAATAAATTTAGTAATATAAAAGAACATTTTTTTTATATATATTATGCATGCTAATGATACAAATTTTGCTACTTTTAAAAGAAATTACGTGTTGTTTTCTTTAAGCATAATCTTGATGTTTCGGTGTTTCTAATATCATTGGCTAAAAGTATGATGATGCTAGTAATATGATATTTTATAATTTCAAGTGGTTAAAAATAAATGCTAGTGATATGAGGGGAGAATGGAATGAATTATAAACATTAATTTTTTTTCCTAATAATTCTTATACTTATGTTGTATATTATTTTGTTCATAGATTATAATTTGTTTCAATTATTATTCCAGGAGAAATTATTCTAGTTCATTAATTTTGTTCAAAGTTGGCTTTTATTATAAATTTTGTTTGTTACTCTAGTAAACATTATAATGAGTTATAAATTGCTAAATTAAATAAAATAGTTAAATTGTTAAAAATGTGTGAACTTGGTAATAGAAAAAAAGGGTCACTTTAAAACAAGTTGGTAATAACCTTTAGAGTGTACACTTTCATTTTATTTGTAGTATGATGAAATTGTGTAATACTTCTTATTCGGTTCTCCATAAAAATTTATTTGATTTGTCAACTTATTTCCAAATCGATGATGTTGTTACTTATAATATTTTATCTTCATTTGAGTTTATATTGATTTTACACATAATTAAATAAATTATGAAAATTACTATTAGAATGAGTTATTTTGTTATTCTATTATTGTTTATACAACAAAATATGATTTATGTTTTAGGGTTTCGGAACTCTATTTAAGATAATTTTTCTTCTTTTATAAAAGATATACAAAAATACAGCATTCATGTAGAGAATGAAATACATACTAGATTTCTCTTCTTCTTTTCTCCTTTGATTCTCCTCTGATTTGCATCTTCCAGGTTTTTGCCATGAGATACCATGAAGTCTGTTTCTCATGCCACGCTCTTTATGGTATCAAAGTAGGTTGAATACTTGCTCTACTTCTGCTGCCATCTCTCTCTTCCTTCGTGGTATTGTTCTACAATGGAGACAACTACCTCATCAACAAAAACCACAATAGATCAATCTTATAATCCTTCAAGCCCTTATTACCTTCACCCTGAAGAAAACCTAGGTTTTAATCTTGTTTCTCAATCTTTAAATGAATCTAATTAATCTTCTTGGAGCAAGAATATGAAACGTGCTCTTTTGTCCAAGAATAAACTCAAGTTCATTAATGAAAGCATAAAGACTCCCACAAGAAATTACCCTGTGTATGATGCATAGGAAAGATCGAATATGATGGTTCTTTCATGAATTGTCAAGAGTGTATCTCCTCAAATTATTGAGAGTGTGATATATGTGGATAATGCTAAAGATCTTTGGGATGAATTGAAAGAAATATTTTCTAAGGGGGATTACTTTAGGATCTCTGATCTCCTTCAAGAAATACATTCCATCAAGCAAGATGAAAGAAACATAACCCAATATTTTATTGATTTGAAAATTCTTTAGGAAGAATTAGAGTTCTTGAAGCCTGTACCAAGTAACTCTTGCAATTGTCATTTAACTAAAATCTCTCTCAGAGAAGTAGAATATGTCATTTGTTTCTTGAGATGTTCAATACTGTGAGAATGCAAATTTTTCTTATGGAACCTCTTCCTAACATCAATCATGTGTTCTCTCTTATCATGCAACAAGATAAACAACTTAGGAAATGGAGGACTTACTATTAAAAGCAAAATAATGGTTAACACCACTAATAAGCAGACTAACTGGAGACAATAAGAATAAGATTCTTGAAAAACACAAGGTCGTGGGAATAACTGGCGTAACCAAGGAAGAGAAAGAGGAAGAAATCCCAATCATGGGAAACAATGCTCTTACTGCCACAAGATGAATGTGGATGAATATTATTCTAAGCATGGATATCCACCATGGTATAAATAAAAAAGTGAATTCTCTAACACTAGTCAAGAAAAGATGAATCAACAGAATTAGAATCGAGACAATGCAAATCAATAAATATGCAACATAAGCATGAAGGATGACTCCTTGCAACTTAGAAATCAAAATCCTAAATAAGAAATATACTCTCTCACCTAAAAACATATGCAAAGACTCTTAAAGATGCTGAAAATTCTTGATAATTTCGATCACACAGTCAATCATGTTTAAAGAAATATTGTTGAATCATCTTAACCTAATAATCAGCCAGTAATCTTTTCTAGACCATTGACACCGGTGCCACTGATCATATTACACGTGTTAAAGATTATTTTGTCACCTTTTACAAAATCATACATGTTAAATTGCCTAATAATTCTTTTATTACTACACATCATGTCGGGACTGTATAATTTTCTAGAAATTTTATCATTTTTAATGTCCTATATATTCATTCCTTTAATCTAATCTCTTTTCAAAGTCTTACTAAAGACCTAGACTACAAATGACTTTTTCTTCTAAGTTGTGTCAGATACAAAACAATTTTACATTAAATATGATTGGACATGCTAATCTCTACAAAGGATTATATTATCTGCAAGTTTTTCCTTCTATTTTTGATAAAAACTTTATCTTTATTAATGCAACTTTAAATTACAATGAAACTGACATTAATCTTTGGCATTATAGATTAGGATATCCTGAAAATAAAGTTGTTGAACAAATATGTAAATATTTCCCTTACATACAATCCTCTTTTAAAACTATTTGCGATATTTGTC